GTTTTTTTTTTTTTTTTTTTGGAGACCTCCTTGGTAATTCGCTTCGCACCCCTCCCCACTGTCACCATTGTACTATAAGCTTCAGAACATCCCACCTGAAGTACTTTAACGGTTCCTCATTGGTCCCCTCTACCATCCACTAGCGTGCCCGCTGCCTTCCAAGTACCTTCAACTCCACACCTCAAGGCTACTGTGCATGCTCTCCCCTTCCCCGCCTCCGCCAATTTCACCTCAGCTTATGTGCACGCAAGGGTTCTGTGTAAAGTGTTGTCACTAAGTCATTGAAACATGACAGAGACATTCAAGGAGTTGAATATAAATGGGGAGAGGAATGTGAGAGAATCCATTTTTCATATCAGTGGTTAGTACAGTTTCATTTTTTTAAGAAAATGCTTAAAAAATGAAGAGTGGGCAACAGAGTGAGACCCCAGGTCAAAAAATAAACAAAAAACAAAAAAAAAGTACTACTTTCAAATACACACTGCTGTGCATAACAATTCAAAGAACCTCACACTAAAAATTTCATTCAATGAGGACCCATTTACTGATACTAATTTTCTTTTTTTTTTAAGATGTGAGGTACAATTCAGGGTTAAGTATACAAATAGTCATTATGCAGGTACCCTTGTTGATGAGGTATGCCCCTCCTTCCCCTGGCGGTTTCCCTTATCTGCCAGTTCCACTCCCCCCTCCCCTGGCAGTTTCCCACTACTGCCAATTCCTTTCTTACAGTATTATAATTGTTTAAGGTCCACTTATGAGTGAGAACATATGGTACTCTGTTCTTTTTTTCTTTGATAGACCACTGGGTATGATAGACTCAATCCATCCATGTTGCTGTGAAGTTCATAATTTTGTCCTTCTTTATGGCTGCATAATATTCCATTGTGTATATGTACCACATTTTTTTAACCAGTACAGCTTCGATGGGCAGTATTATTGATTCCATGTTTCTGCTATTGTGAATAGAGCTGCCAGTACTAATTTTCTTTTACCATAGAATCAGCAATGTAACAACCCAGCTCCGTAACTTCCCAGAGGTGATGACACTCAGACATCCCTCTATGATTTAATTTCTTCATCTATAGAGTAATGGCACAACAATGAACTGGTTCATTCTCTCCTCAAAACTGGAGGCCTGTCTTTTTTCAATCCCAAGAAATAAATAAAAATGCATGACTTTAAGGCTGAGCGTGGTGGCTCATGCCTGTAATCCCAGCACTTTGGGATGCCAAGGCAGGATTTTGAGAGCAGCCCAAGCAACATAGCAAGACCTCAGCTCTACAAAAGAAAATTTTTTTTAATCTGGCCATAGTGGCACACACCTATAGTCCCAACTGAAGCAGAAGGCTCACCTGAGCCCAGAAGGTTGAGGTTGTGGTGAACTGTGATGGTGCCACTGCACTCCAGTCTGGGCAGCAGAGTGAGACCCCAAGTCAAAAAATAAACCAAAAAAAAAAAAAAAAAGCACTACTTTCAAATACACACTGCTGTGCATAACAATTCAAAGAACCTCACACTAGAAACTTAATCATATATTCATATTTTATCGACTTTACTGCATTGAAATACTCTGTGCAATTATTTCTTATTCTACATTGCAAGTTGTGTTAGACAGAATGTCTTTCACGACTTATAAACAGCAGAAAGGCCTCAGAACAAAGATGTTCAGACACAAGTTGCTGCACACTCTGTGCCTCAGAGTTCAATGTCCCTCACATGCTTGTACATGAGCTCAAAGAACATCAAAATAGTTCTCTGGAAAAGAAGAGCATCCTGGAGGCTGAAGAAAGCTGCACCTCTGCCTTTCTTAGTGAAAATGCCCTGTGTCAATCTCTTTCTGTCAAACGAATAAAGAGGACCGGCATGTGACCAGAAGCAAAGGCATCCTGAACCTTGACATAATCCCGTGATTCACTTCCTGCACTGAGTGGTTCAGGGCTGAATTTATACTCCGCTGGTAGGGTGGCTGTCCATGGACTTCCAGACCTGAAAGAAGGAAATTCACATCCTCGCTTAGGCGGTAGTGAAAACCGCGGAAGCTAAAGTCAGACCTCCTGAGTTCCAACCCGGTCCTGCCACGTACTAGACGGGCAGTCCTGAGCAGCCATTTAACCTTTCTGCACTAGGGTTTATTCGCCCGTCAAGTGGGTATAATCACAGCACCTACCCTCTAGGACTTCTGTGAGAAGTAAATGAGTTAATCCACAGAAAGCCTCGGAACACCTCCTGGCTGGCACAACCGAGCATGTTAATGTTACAGCCTTTCGACTAAGGGCTCCTGAAACTCTGGAGCATTTTGCCCGGGTGTGAGTGAGATCTCGTGTGTTGCAAAGCTTTGAAAGCGAACACGAGAGAAATCAGGGCGGGGCAGTGGGAGAGCTGCGGTGTGAAATTTATCCAGCAGAGCCCACCTACAGCCTAGCCTCGGGTCTCCACCGTTTGTTCTCCAAGAATCGGTCGAGCGAGCGGCGCAGCACTGCTTCTCTCCAATCAGACACCTCAAGGCCGGCGCCACGTTTGCGACCTGATCCAATCTCGTCCCCGAGAGGGCGGGAACTCGAAGTTCCTACCTGCACCTGTGGCGGCGCCTCCTGGGCATTTTTTTCTTTTTCTTTTTCTTTCTTTTTTTTTTTTTTTTTTA